ACCCGCGTGAGAGACAAGGATGGAGCTCTAGCGTCTGCCTTCACGGCCAAGGCCATTGCAGGCATCTGCGGAGTAAGCCAGCAGATGGAGGGTCTCCCCTTCTCTCCATCTCTATGTCTTTCAAATGACTAATTTTTTTTTTTTTTTTTTTGACAGGCAGAGTGGACAGTGAGAGGGAGGCAGAGAGAAAGGTCTTCCTTTTGCCATTGGTTCACCCTCCAATGGCCGCCGCGGCCGGCGCACCGCGCTGATCCGAAGGCAGGAGCCAGGTGCTTCTCCTGGTCTCCCATGGGGTGCAGGACCCAAGCACTTGGGCCATCCTCCACTGCACTCCCTGGCCACAGCAGAGAGCTGGCCTGGAAGAGGGGCAACCGGGACAGAATCCGGCGCCCCGACCGGGACTAGAACCAGTGTGCCAGCGCCTCAAGGTGGAGGATTAGCCTAGTGAGCCGCGGCGCTGTCCTCAAATAACTAATGTTTAAAAAATATAAAAAAGAAAGGAAAAGCCACAGTTTTTTAATGGCCAATTCAGATAGACCAGCTATCCAGATTTGTGTGCAGGATTTGGACTTCAGTGTTACTGAACTTATTTGTAAAACTTAGACTTTTGCTCGTTCCTTGAATTCTGCATATTATCTCGGATTGCGTCCTGGATTTTTGTTTTACTGGCCCATCTGGGACCCTGGTCAGGAGTTTCTCTACCAGACATTCTACTGTGCAAGCTTCGTCTCAGCACAACAGGTGCACTTCGTGTTCAACAAGCCCTCGCCTTGAATTGAGTCAAGGCTACAGTGAGGGGTTCAAAAGGCTTTAGGGCCTAGAGTTCTGCGGGAGAGAACACACACATCAAACTGACAGGACACAGTCACAAAACAGCATCAAGACAAGTCTTGGGCTGGCGGTGTGGACGTGAGAACACTCCAGAATGTAGAGAGATGGGAACCACGCGTGGTTAGCACTGGCTTGTGTGGTCTCCTGCCTGTACACAAAGGTTTTGATGTTTCAGCCTTAAACATGAGAACACGTTTGTACTACAGACAGAAATGCACAGTTAGACACCAGAATCTTGACAGCGTTTTTTAAGTACTATAGAAAGACACTGATTTTTCTCTGACTCATAATTTGCCTTTCAATAACTTACCAAGGCAAACCCAACAAAGAACCCAAGAACCTCAGAGCTGTTTGAACATTGCAAAACCAAGGGGATTTCTTTTTTTCTTTTCTTTTTCTTTCTTTCTTTCTTTCTTTTTTTTTTTTTTGGTAAGCACTGTTTTGAAAGATACTAATAGTGAGAGAGAGAGACAGAGAGAAAGGTCTTCCTTTTGCCGTTGGTTCACCCTCCAATGGCCGCCACGGCTGGCGCTCTGTGGCCAGTGCACTGCGCTGATCCGAAGGCAGGAGCCAGGTGCTTCTCCTGGTCTCCCATGGGGTGCAGGGCCCAAGCACTTGGGCCATCCTCCACTGCACTCCCTGGCCACAGCAGAGAGCTGGCCTAGAAGAGGGGCAACCGAGACAGAATTCGGCACCCTGACCGGACTAGAACCCGGTGTGCCAGTGCCGCAAGGCGGAGGATTAGCCTAATGAGCTGCGGCGCCGGCTTGAATAGTTCTTAATGATGCTGAGAGAAATGGTTTCAATCCCTGTCTTCTGTCAAAACCGAATTTGCTCTAGGATTTTGGCTGTGAGGCCTCTTGAGACCTTTGGTAATGGGCTAGCAGGGAACAGATCAGGACTGAGTAGGGGAAACCAACCTTATTTCACCTTTGACCTCTTCCCCAAAGCTGACCTCTCTTCCCAAGGTTACTAGGTCCAAAAAGGCAAAAACAAACAAACAAACTCAGGCCATTCACATCCTAAGGATGTCATTTGGCTGGGGGATCATGGCTTTTTGCGTGTGTGTCTGAAATTTTCGAACACAAGCAGAAGCAGATATCCTGTTATAATAAATTCTCATGTGTCCATCACTCAGTTTCAACATCCATTAACTTCCTGCCTTTCGTGCTTCATCTGGCCCACCTCCCCAGACACGCATGCTGTTCCTGTGTTTGTTCTGGATTCTGAGATATAGCAATAGCACCCTCTTTCTCACCATTTTCTCTTGTAGTGGACCCTTTCCTCATTCATTTGCCATAGCAGCAAAGAGTCCACAGGGAAGATAAGTTATTATTGCAATAAAGATCTCTTGGTTACATGTTGCAACCTGTCTGTGCAGCTTTCTGGAACTCAGTATCTGAAAGAAAACCTGATAAGCTTGTGGTCAAAGCACCAGATTTCAGCCATTTCTTTCTCATTACTTCCTTTTTACTTTGAAGGTTTTGTTGATTATTTATCGTGAACAATAAAATAAGCTGCAATTTTAATGTTTTACAGTAAAGTTTTTTTTGTAGGCACCAGAAGTATTTGGTGGCCATGGCTATGCACATCACTCATAGCACGGCCCGGAGGTGGGCTGGAAGGTGACAAGAATACACATTTTCGAGTCAGACAGAATTGGATTCAAATGTTGGCTCTACCAGGTGCATGACCCCAGGCAAGTTTCTCAGCCTTTCTGAACACAATCCCCTCATCTATAAAATAGAGATAACACTCGCTGCCTCTCAGCATCCCATGACAATTTGAAAGAGTTAGATGCAGGGTACAGAGTTAGTGAGTGCCTGGAACGCCAGTGGAGGTCAGTGCTCGGAAGTGGCTGTTGTTGCCCATTCATTTCCATAATGGCGATCTCCCAGCCAGGCAGTGGTGGGATCAGGCAGCTCCTAAGGTGTCTTTTTGAGTCTTGCCTCCAGACTTACCTGGACCTGTTACTATTGACCCTGTTCTGTGTCTCAAGTGTCCCAAAGAATGAGATGCCACATGCCAGGAAAAGGGCAGGCTGCAGCCGCCGCAGGGCTTTGGAAGTGTCCTCTGATGCAGTCCCCTGGACCCAGAAAACTCTGTACTATTCTTAACAAATTAAGCAGTGGAACTTAAAAAAAAAAAAAAGGCCAACAGAGACTTCCTTGGCAAGCTTTCATGTTTCTATATTTAACTAAAGCCAGGCAAGTTTGAACAACCAATGGAGGTCTCAAAGCTGAGGCAGAACAAGTGCGGCCATTTTTCTTCATGTGTTGGTTAGAAGCGGATTCTGGAGCCAGACTGGCTGAGTGTGAAGTGTGGCTCTTTCCTGCTTGGGTCACCTTGGGTCACTGTGCCTCCCCTTCTCTTGTATAAAATAGTACCCATTTCAAATACTTTGTTGTAAGGAGTACAAGAAATAATGGATGTAAAGTGTTCAGAACTGTGCCTGGCATTAAAGTAAACTCTCAGCCAGTATGAGCTCTTGTTATTGATGTCACAGAGATGGTGGAGTAAATTCTGTGCTACGAAACATTTCCTGGGTTCAATCTGCAGGAGCCAAGCCATGTAGCAAAAGTCTCTCCTTCACTCTTTATCCATTCTGCAAATATTTACCTGTCTCCAGCCATGCCAAGCACTGTTCTAACTTCTGAAGACATAGCAAGAACACAGCAGTAAAAATTACTGCCCGAGGAACTGGCATGCTAATCTTTCAGGCATGTGGCCAGTGTGAATTTGGGTCTGCTATTTCGAAGAAGTGCACTGGCCGGCGCCATGGCTCACTAGGCTAATCCTCTGTCTTGCGGCGCCCACACACCGGGTTCTAGTCCCGATCGGGGCGCCGGATTCTGTCCCTATTGCCCCTCTTCCAGGCCAGCTCTCTGCTGTGGCCAGGGAAGGCAGTGGAGGATGGCCCGAGTACTTGGGTCCTGCACCCCATGGGATACCAGGATAAGTACCTGCCTCCTGCCATCGGATCAGCGCAGCGTGCCGGCAGCAGCAGCCATTGGAGGGTGAACCAATGGCAAAGGAAGACCTTTCTCTCTGTCTCTCTCTCTCTCACTGTCCACTCTGCCTGTCAAAAAAAAAAAAAAAAAAAAGAAGAAGAAGAAGAAGTACACTGGGTGTTTGTCCCTGAGTTCTTTCTATAGCCACTGCGTGGTTTGTGTCACTTTATGCCCACTTGGATTCTCCTTTTTGCTTTACAAACAATAATTTGTTCTTAAGTGCCTCCTATGTGCCCTGTCCTGCTTTAAGTTGCATTAGAGTTAATCCTTGTCCACAAGGATCCATGGCATGGTAGATGCCATACATAAGTAATCTCAGTGCTGTGACCATGAGGAGCCGTGCTGTGAGTACAGAGGAGGGACATCAAAATAAAGTGGTAGATCCAGAGAAAGTGTCCCAGAGAAGCAAACTCTGAAAGGTGATTTAGATAGAATTAGCTGCAGAGGAGCATAGGGTGAGGTGGGGATTGGGAAAGGGAAGGGTGGGGCAGCGGGTGGAGAAGGCAGGGAGGCCTGAGGCCTGAATATTTGGGGAGTGACAAATGGATCATGAGGATAGTTACAGCAGAGAATGGAGTTGGTGTGGAGGAGGGGGAGTCAGGGAAAGGTACACTGAGCAATGAGGTAGGTACTGAAAAGCCCTGTGAGCCTTGCTTAGGAGTTTGCTCCTGAAGTGGGGGATGGGCCAGGAAAAGATTTGGAGCTCAGGAGTGATGCAGGTACATCGAGACCTTGTGTTGGGATTGCTGCTGTGTCAGCTGTCCAGAGCGTGATTCAGAGGAGAGCCTGCAGGGATTCGGAGGAGAGGCTGAAGACCAGTTTTCCCCGTGAGAAAGTGCGGAGGCTTCAGCAGTCAGTGTCTGGAGCTGGTGGAGATGGGGTTAGAATGGCCAAGGCAGCAAACAGGTGTGGGTTCTGCAGAGCTTTGTGAATGACTGGGGACTGGAGAGGGGGTTGATACTGATGAAACCGCAACCCAGTGCAAGCTAAGAGAGGGGCACTTGGTCTTCATTTGGAGTGACTCTTTATGTCACTGAGAAAAACTGCACCAGGGTGAATGTGGCCTGCTGGGTGTTCCACGGGGTCCGCAGGTGCTTTGGGCTCTCTGCTCCCATAGACCTTTTAGATTGTGGCAGTCATTTGTGTTGGCTCAGGGTCAATGTCACATCACATAAGTCCAGCCAAGCAGCTCAACTGCATCCACTCGCTCTCTAGTTCATTCATTTATTTTGTTGATCACATTTATTGGTTATCTACTAAGTGTGCTCATGTAGCTTATATTTTATATGTATTTTAGTGTGAGTTGGTGGACAAAGGAAGAATCGTAACTGCCAAGGTCCATTTAGATATTTATAACGTCATTCACCAGTCATGCAACATTATCAACCGAACAATTAGCCTGCTGTAGATTTATTGAATTTTGAGTCCTGCCCCTGTTTGCCTTTGCAGGGCCTGTGGGCTGGACATTCCCCACCCCTGCGATAGAGATATGGTCTGTTAAAAAAAAAATTAGAACAGGGTAGGCAATGGGCAATGTAGGAAGACACTAGAATGCTCGCATCGCATATCAGGATGCCTTTTTAGAGTCCTGGCTCCTCCGCTTCTGATCCAGCTTCCTGAAAACATGCACAAGCAGATGGTGGCTTCAGCGCTTGGGTGCTTGCCACCCACATGGGAGACCTGGTTGAGTTCCAGGCCCCTGACTTCGGCCTGGCTGATGTGGGCATTGGAGGGGTGAACCAGCAGACGGAAGATCTCTCTGTGTCTGTCAATCTCAAATAAATAAATTTAAACAGAGTGGAGAGCCTGAGTGGGTGGACTGGGGTCAGTGGCTGTCACTACTGTAGTCAGGGGAGGCCTTGTGAGGAGGTGACCCCGTGAGTGTAGGCTGCAGTGGCCGAGGGAAGGGTATCCCACACAAGGGTCCTGAGGAGGAGCTAGTTCAGGTCCCAGCCTTGTTTAATCACCTCTCTCGCCTGGGTCATGGTCCGTTCCCTGACAGCCTACCTGCTTCCCTTCTTGCCCTGCTGTTGTTGACACCGTACCTGGAACAAGCCTTCCAAGAACATGAGCGAGTCCTAGCTTCAGAACCGCCCAGGGACTTCCCATCACAATGAGGAAAAGCCCAAGTGCTCACCCTGGCAGCAAGGCTGTCCAGACCCCACTCCCCACCCCCCCTTCCCTGTGTGATTTTGGCCTCCGCTCCTTTCCTGCTTGTTCCCTGTACTCCAGCCACACCCGCCTCCTTCCTGCTACCTGAACTTGTCAAACACACCACGACCTTGTGGCCAGGCACAGCCTAGCTTGTTCCTCACAAGGTCTTGGCTCATGCATTGAGGATTCCTGAGAATGCTTGCAGATTTGAGGATTTTCTAGAAGGACTCATAGGATTGAGCATATAGTTATGCTCATGGCTCTGAGCTATTACAGTGAGAGAATATCAGCAAAAGGAAAAGGGCATGGGGCGAAGTCTGGAGGAAACCAGGCATGAACTCCAAGAGTCCTTTCCTAGTGCAGCCACACAGGTCACACTTCATTCCACCATCCATGGATTGGGACTGCACGTGTGAAAACTCGTCTGCCAGGGAGGCTTAGTGCAGGCTGAGTGCCCGGGGCTGGAGATGGACCGGGGACTAGTCAGGTGCATGCCTGGCATGTACCCAAATCCCACAAGGAGAGCAGGTGTTTGCACAGCACTCTGGGCATGGTAATCTGCAAATCTAGGGACAGCCTTGCAGGGGCACTTGCTCAGGGCCACAGTCTCAGGCCCGCTGGGCCCATGCTGCTGCACAGCTCAGGCGGCACCTTCCCAGTCGGAGTAGCAACCTCCTGTTTAAAGTAGGGCACCCTGCCTTCCCTCCTTGTAGGGTTTTTCTCCTTAGCACACATCACCACCTAAGACACTGTCAGCATCCAATTTCTTGTTTATCACCCACGCCAAGTTTCACAAGGGCGGGGATTTTTGCCTGCTTTCTTTACGACTGACCCCCGGCACCTGGGACAGGGTTCGGGACATGGCAGTCCTCAGTGACATGTAGTGCATGAAGCAGTGAGTGCTGAGGGGCAGGAAAGTGTGACACACGTGGTTAGGGGAAAGCTGTGCAGAAAGGGGGGAAATACCTGGGTCGGAGCAGCCGGGGGCCTTGTGGACCTTGCGGTGGGGTTAAAGAAGCATATTCCTGTAACCAAATCTCTTTAAGATGTATTTATTTGAAAAGTGGAGTTAGAGAGAGACAGAGACAGAGATCTTCCATCTGCTGGTTTACTCTCTAAGTGGCTGCAAAAGCCAGGGGCTGAGCCAGAAGCCTGGACCTATGTCTGGGTCTCCCACGTGGGTGCAGGGGTCCAAGCACTTGGACCACCTTCTGCTTCCCCAGGTGTATTAGCAGTGAGCTGGATCAGAAGTAGAGCACTGGGGGCCGGCGCTGCGGCTCACTAGGCTAATCCTCCACCTGCGGTGCCGGTATTCCGGGTTCTAGTCCCGGTTGGGGCGCCAGATTCTGTCCTAGTTGCTCCTCTTCCAGTCCAGCTCTCTGCTGTGGCCCGGGAAGGCAGTGGAGGATGGCCCAAGTGCTTGGGCCCTGCACCCGCATGGGAGACCAGGAGGAAGCACCTGGCTTCGGATCGGCGTAGCTCCGGCCGTGGCGACCATTTGGGGGGTGAACCAACAGAAGGAAGACCTTTATCTCTGTTTCTCTCTCTCACAGTCTAACTTTGCCTGTCAAAAAAAAAAAAAAAAAAAAAAGTAGAGCAATGTGGACTTGAACCGGTACTCTGATATGGGATGCTGGCATTGCAGGCAGCAGCTTAACCTGTGCCATAATACTGGTCCCTAAAATAATTTTTTACCTAAAAATGTAATAGACTTATAAGTTGTAAATATTTATGGGGTACTATGTGATGTTTTGTTACATGTGTACATTGTGTAATATGCAGTTAGGGTAAATATAGCCTTTCAAACATTTTTTACAGTGAAAACATTAAAAAATCCTATATCCTAGTTTTTTTTAAATAAATATACAATAAATTAAAATTATCTGTCTTCTCCCTACTATAAAACAGAAACCCAGAACTTACTCCTATGTAGCTGTAGTCTAGTACCCATCAATCATCTTTTCCACATCAGCCCCTCCATCTCATCCTCCTCACCATTTTATTTTTAACTTCTATGCCATCATCTATTTCTTTTTTTTTTAAGATTTATTTTGTTTGTTTGAAAGAGTTACAGAGAGAGATAGAGACAACGAAAGAGGTCCTCTCTCCACTGATTCACTCCCCAGATGGCTGCAACGGCTGGAGCTGCGCCAATCTGAAGCCAGGAGCCAGGTGCTTCCTCCAGGTCTCCCATGTGGGCGCAGGGGCCCAAGGACTTGGGCCATCTTCTACTACTATCCCAGGCCATAGCAGAGAGCTGGATTGGAAGAGGAGCAGCCGGGACTAGAACCGGTGCCCACATGGAATGCTGGCGCTTCAGGCCAGGGCTTTAACTCACTGTGCCACAGCACCGGCCCCAATCATCTATTTCTTAAAACTTTACATTTGAATGAGATAGTATGATATTTGTCTTTCTGTGCTTGTCTTATTTCACTTACCATGACCTCCCTTTCCATCTGAGTTGGTGCAAATGACAAGACGTCATCCTTTTTATGGCTGGATAATATTCCATGTGTATGGGTGTCACATTTTCTTTATTCATTCATCAGTGATGGACACTTGGTGTCTCTGTTTCCTGGCTGTTGTGAACAGCGCTGCCATAAACACAGAGTGCAGGTGTCTTTTCACTGCTGGATTCATTTCCTTTGAGTATACAACCAGAAGTGGGGTGGCTGGGCCCTATGGTAGTTCTGATTTTACTTTCTGAGGAGCCTCCTCACTGTTTTCCCACTAACAGTGTGCAGGAGTTCCCTTTCCTGCACATCCTTGCCAACACTTGTTATCTTTTGTCCTTTTGTTAATAGTTAATCTTACTGGAATGAGCTAAGATCTCACTGTAGCATTGTTCAGCATTTCTTTTTTTTTTTTTTTTCCTTAAAGATTGATTTGAAAGGCAGAGTTACAGGGAGGGAGGGAGAAGGTGGGATGGAGAGAGAGGGTTTACTTCCCAAATGGCTACAACAGCCAGGACTGGACCAGGCCAAAGCCTGGAGTCTGGAACTCCATCCAGGTCTCTCATGTAGGTGGTAGGGGCCCAAATACTTAGGCCATCTTCTGCTGCTTTCCCAGGCACATTAGCAAGGAATTGTGTTGGAAGTGGAGCAGCTAGCACCCAAACCAGTGCTCATGTGGGATGCTGGCATCTGGTGGCAGCTTAACCACTGTGCTGCAGTGCAGGCCCCTTGATTGAAGTTTCTCTGATGAACAGTGAAGTTGAGCATGTTTTCATATACCTGTTGGCCATTTATATGTCTTTCTTTGAGAAATATCTGTTTAGGGGGCTGGCGCTGTGGCATAGCTGTTAAAGCCACCGCCTGCAGTGCCAGCATCTGATATGGGTGTTGGTTCTAGTCCCAGCTGCTCCATTTCCAATCCAGCTCCCTTCTGTGCCCTGGGGAAGCAGTAGAAGATGGCTCAAGTCCTTGGGCCGCTGCACCCACGTGGGAGACCTGGAAGAAGCTCCTGGCTCCTGGCTTCGGATCAGCGCAGCTCCGGCCATTGTGGCTAACTGGGGAGTGAACCAGTAGATGGAAGACCTCTCTCTCTCTCTCTTTCTGCCTCTGCCTCACTGTAACTCTGACTTTCAGGTAAACAAATAAAATCTTTAAAAAAAAAAAGAAAAAAAAAGACATATCTGTTTAGATCCACTGTCCATTTTTAAATTGCATTGTTTGGTTTGTTATTGAATTGTTTGAGTTCTTTCTATATTCTGGATATTAACCCCTTGTCTGATGTATAGCTTGCATATATTTCCTCCCATTCTGTGGGGTGTTTCTACACCCTGTCAATTGCTTCCTTTGCTTGCAAAAGCTCTTTAATTGAATTTATCTATTTTTGCTTTTATTTCCTGGGCTTTTGGGGTATGGTCCAGAAAAATCCTTGCCCCAGCCTGCAGGGTAATCAACTAGGACACGAGGAGGGCAGACCTGAATGGAGAGACAAACCAGACACGAGAAGGGAGACCAAGACAGTATTCTGATCAAGGTCTCACTTTATTGAAGAAGGAGGCAGCTTATATAGTACAAGGCAAGGATTTTAACAGTCGAGGGCAAGCAGGGGTCATCTTACAACATAGTTCAAAGGAATAATTTTACAGGAATCAGCATCAGTTTGACAAGGGGAGTTGCAGCAAGGTCTTACAGCTATCAGACGTGCTTATCAAGGTACAAGAAAGAGAGCACTGAAGCCAGATGGCCAAGTGCTAACCATATCAGTGAGCTGTACAAAGGGAATTTTCTAGTGAATCCTCCTTATGGGAACACAGTTGAAGATTAATCTAAACAAAGGCCTATACAGGGAAACCAGCGCAGCTCCCAACAATCCTTTCCCATTCCATTTCCCTAAAGTGTTCCCACTATGTTTTCTGCCAATAATCTGAAAGTGTTAGGCCTCGTATTTAAGTCTTTACTTCATTTTGAGCTGATTTTTATAAATGGTGGGAGATAGGAGTCTAGTTTTATTCTTTTGCCTGTGAATATCCAGTTTCCCCCACATCATTAGTAAAAAGACTATCCTTTTTCCAATGCATGTTCTTAGCACCTTGGCCTGAGTATTAGTTGGTTAGGGATATGTGGATTTACTTCTAGGATCTCAATTCTCCTCCATTGGTCTACAAATCTGTTTTAATCACTGTAGCTTTGTTATATATTTTAAATATCATCTGGATTTTGACAGGGATTGACTTGCATCTGTAAATTGCCTTGGGTAGTTTGCACATTTTGATGATATTGATTCTTTAAATCCATGAACACAGGATGCTTTTCCATTTCTTTGTGTCTTCTTTATTTTTAATAAGTCAATTTTATATAAATTTGATTTATAGTTATCATTGTAGAGATCTCTCACCGCTTTGGTTAAATGTATTCCAAGGCATTTTTTTTGTAGTTATTGGAAGTAGGATTGCTTTCTTTTTTTTAAGATTTATTTATTTATTTGAAAGTCAGAGTTACACAGAGAGAGAAGGAAAGGCAGAGAGAGAGAGAGAGAGACAAGTCTTCCATCTGCTGCTTCACTCCCTAAATGGCCGCAATGGCCGGAACTGGGCAGATCTGAAGCCAGGAGCCAGGAGCTTCTTCCAGGCTCAGGGCCAAGTCTCTCTTTCTTTTTCTCCTTCTTAATAGGGGGTTGAGAATCTCTTGTGATTTGTACTTAACACTCTGTGCTGTTCTGCCCTTGAGCTTATCACAACTACAATAATTCCATGAGTTGCATAATTTAGTTAATATCTGAATTCTCCATTAAACAAAAAATCCCTGGCTTGCTAACACAATATTCTCACTATCTAACCCCCAACTCAACAAATATTTGAATGAAAGATGGGCTGCTCTTCAGAGTGTACATGACCCTGGACTGGGCTTTGCCTCCCGGGAACTGGAACGCACCACAGAGCTCTCTCAGGTTCCCCAGTCTGAGACCTAGGTCAGCATCTTTTGTACACACACTGCCAGGCAGTATTCAACCTCACATGTCCTGACTTCTAATGCTGGGCTGTGGGTGTTCATTTTGCAGGAACCCTTGGAAAAGGCCCAGCTGCTTGCTCTGGTTGGGGACCAGTTCATCCAAAACCACCATTATGCAGTGGATACCATCAGGCCCAGGTGTGTGGAGCTCAGGCACCTTTGTGACGACTTCATCAATGAAAACAAGAAAAGATATGACATTTTAGGAAAGTCCTTGGAGCTGCATAGACAGCTAGACAAGGTGAGTGAAACGAAGCCATGAACATGATATGTCTGCAAGATTTTCTGTAAGATGGTTTGAACCGTACCTTTCCTCCCTGCCTTCCACGATTGCTGACAACTTCAAGTACTTTATACAGAAAACAAACAAACAAACAAAAAGCACTCCAGAGGCATTATGAAACTACCCCAGTTCTAGGTGGGAGAGGGACTGAAGGTAGCAGGTGCCCCAGCTGTCCCTCCCCGTCCCGTGAAATTAACAAAAGCCCATTTTCCTCTGTGTGGAACCAGATTTAAAGAATGTGTTTGGTCCTGGTCCTCCGAGGACATTTCTTGACTTCTTTTCAGGTGCATTTAGGCCACTGCTATATTTGCAAAATATTTCTTTCATACAAAAGCTGTTTACTGTGCACCTAACTCTATTGTGTCTTCTATTTAGTCCTCTAGACAGCCTATGAGGAAGATATTAATGGCTTTATTGTGCAGGCAGAAGTGGAAATTGAGTGTGGTTAAGTCAATGGGTCTCAAAATTTAGTCCCCGAGAATCACACAGGATATGGGTTATAATCACAGATTTCCTAGCGCACCACCCTGGAGACTTAGATTCCGTAGGTCTGGGGTGATGCCCAGTATTTTAGACAAGCGCCCACGTGCATCTGGTCCAGGTGGAGTAGGTGCTGCAGGAACAACTCAGAACTCTGAGGGTAAGTGGTGCCCCAAGGCCGTGCATACCCCATATAGGGGAAGCCAAATTTGAAACCGTGACTGCCAGCCTCCAACCCCAGGTTTCCTAGGCTAGACAAGGCAGCTGTGTGCACAGGGCCTCACAGGGAGAGGAGTGGGCAGACCATGGTGCCCTCTGAAGGTGACCTCTACAAATTCCTAGTCAGTACAAGCACTGCCTTCTGGAGCCTTCCCTGTCAGCTGTTCCCCAGCAGCATGTGACTGGTGGCCATGAGTCAGCATACTCCATTCCCACAGCTGTTTCTCTCCCATGGCTGGGGGCACCCACCCAGGCTGTTTACATTATTCCATTGCCAAAGGGATTTTAACATCAATGAAATGCAGTTGTTCCAGAAGCAAGTGGCTCAGAAGGGGCTGGTGTGGAGCCTGCCCTGTGTGCTGAGCTCATTGCAAGATCAGCTGCTGTTTTCCTGACTCCATTTCTGCTCCAGAGAGAATTGTGTGTGTGTGTGTGTGTGTGTGTGTGTGTCTGTCTGTGAAAAAGACTCTGCAGAACCAGCGCAGTGTTTTCTGCCCATCTAGGTATGGTGTGTAAAGAGAAAGCTTTCACAATATATATCAAAGTATGAGAATCTAAAAATGTAGGGAGGAAGGAAAAAGTCATGCATGGGCACTTATACATCCCATCTCCCTCCCCTGTCAGTGATAAGCATTAGGCTTAAACTATCTTTGTTATTTTTTGTTAGTCTTAATACAGTACATGTTCAGTGTGGGATAATTTAGGAAAAAATAAAGACCAATATTTAAGTTACTTATCATTTTCCCAGTTAGAGAGAGCCACCTTGCAGTGTTTCCTTTTTGACCTTTTCCTCTGTGTATTTTGCATTGTTCTTCTGGTCACACAGTGGACGGAAATGCACTGGAAACTTCTTTGCACATAAATATTCAGGCAGCCTAGGGCCCACTGTCTTTCTCTTAGGGATTTTAGTGAAGTTCAGAAGAGCAAAGAAAATGAGTCTTTTTTAAAAAAGATTGAATTGTTAGAGTTCACCACCTATCTGATTTCCTCCTAGCATCCAGAAACCTTGAGTACTGCTGTTCTGAATTACAAAGAACATTTTTGTGTTCTTGGATGCTTCTTTGGAAAGACAAATGCCAATAAATGCAAATGTGAGTCACTGGGAAATTCAAAGGGAAGTGATATTTTTGTGAAAAGAAACATTCCCTCCACCAGGAAAGCATGTAGGGGCCAGGTCTAATGCCCCATTAATTGCTTTGTGCTCTCCTAACCAATTAAGACGCAAGCCAAGAGGCCTAGCAGGTAAACTAAATCAAAAAGCCATTGATGACTTTTTTTTTTTCTATAGATGCCTTAGAAATACGTAACTCTCTGCTCCTGGAAAGACAGCCATTCCTGCCAATGGGAAAGACAAGAATGATTATATGATTTATTTTAATGAATGATTTCTCTGAGAAATGGACAGATTTGGTTTGGGATTGTCCACCTCATAGTTTTATTCCCAGTGGTTAACTTGCTAAACTTTGTGTTGTCCCTTGGCAATTTCCCATTGTCTCAGAATCCTGATAGGCCCCGTATGAGTTCAAGCCTGCTAAGGATTGAGCTGGCTCTGAGTTGCAGTCAGGCTAACTGCACTGGGCACTGTGTTTCTTTTCTAAAGGTCAGCCAGTGGTGTGAAGCGGGGATCTTCCTCTTGGCTTCCCAAGCTGTAGACAAGTGCCAGTCTCGAGAGGGGGTTGATGTTGCCTTGAATGACATTGAGACATTCCTGAGCACAGCCAAGGAGTGCCGGTTGCTCAGCCCCAAGGAGTTTTACAACCAGTTTGAGCTGATACTCACCCCCGATGTGAAGGTAAGGTTTCTGGCTTAATTTTGATGCTGTGCTTGGAAAGAGGGGGAGGAGGAGAGGCTTTCACCTTTTGTCTACAAACATCATGCAGGACGCACTGGGCAGCCTGTGAAGAGTGGGCTAGGCTATTCTTTTTTTTTTTTTTTTTTTTGACAGGTAGAGTTATAGACAGTGAGAGAGAGAGAGGCAGAAAGGTCTTCTTTCCATTGGTTTACTCCCCAAATGGCCACTACGACCGGCGCTGTGCCAATCCAAAGCCAGGAGCCAGGTGCTTCTTCCTGGTCTCCCATGCAGGTGCAGGGGCCCAAGCACTTGGGCCATCCTCCACTGCACTCCTGGGCCACAGCAGAGAGCTGGACTGGAAGAGGAGTAACTGAGACTAGAATCTGGTGCCCATATGGGATGCCGGTGCCGCAGGCGGAGGATTAACCAAGTGAGCCATGGTGCCGGCCCTTAGCTAGGCTATTCTTAAATAAAGCTTTTTAAAAGATTTGGTTATTTATCTGAAAGGCAGAGTGACAGGGAAGGAGGGAGAGAGATGTAGGAGGAGAGAGAGAGGAGAGAGATCAATCTCCCATTCACTGGTTCACTCCCCAAATTGTCGCAACAGCCAGACTAGGCCAAAGCTAGTAGCCAGGAACTCCCTCCAGGTCTCCCACATGGATGGCAGGGACAGAGCACTTGGGTCATCGTCCACTGCCTTCTCAGGCACACTAGCAGGAAGCTGGATTGGAAGCAGAGCAGCTGGAACTCAAATTGGCACTCCTATAGGCAACGCCAGTGTGACAAGTGGCAGCTTCATCCCCTGCTCCACAATGACAGCCCCATGGCTAAGCAGTTGTCAAGCTGAGGTCGCCTTATAAATTCCAGGCCTGAATATCCTGGTAAGTGACCGTCCCTAGTCTGAATTAAATATCACCTTCAGTCATTCATTTCTCTACAGACACTTGTGTCTCTGATACGTCATGTTCTGTGCTGAGTGCCAAGGACACAGCGATGGGCAGAAGTAGGCATGTTTCTGTCCCTCATGGAGCTTACAGTTAGAGAGGCTGCCATCAGCAAAATAATCACAACAAAATGTGACAAGCTTAGATAAGTGCCCTGGAGGGGGACCCAGGGTCCTGCTGGGCATGTGACAGAGGAATTTGACCTGGACTGAGGGAGCTCCAGGGAAGAGTCTTGCAAGCCAAGGGCTATAGAGTGAGTAGAGAAGATGGGGGAAGCTTTCTGAATGGGAGAAACAGCATGTGCAAAGCCCAAGAAGGAGGGACCCTGGTACCAAGTACAAAACCAAAAGACAGGTGGCAGAGTCTGGAGAATAAAGGAGGGATGCTTTGAGGGATGAGGCAGGGCTTTGTGGATGCTGCTGAGGAGTTTGATCTTTTTTTTTTTAAAGATTTAATTTATTTATTTGAGAGGCACAGAGAGAGAAAGATAGAAAGGTCTTCTATCTGCTGGTTCTCTCCCCAAATGGCCATGATGGCCAGAACTGGGCTGATCCAAAGCCAGGAGCCAGGAGCCAGGAGCCAGGAGCTTCATCTGGGTCTCCCGGGAGTCCAAGGACTTGGGCAATCTTCCATTGCTTTCCCAGGCCATAGCAAAGAGCTAGATCAGAAGTGGAGTAGCTGGGACTTGAACTGATACCCTTATGGGATACTGGTGCCACAGGCTGAGGCTTAGTCCACTATGCCACAGCATCGGCCCCAGAGTTTGATCTTTATTCCAAGGGTAGTGGGAAACTGTTGAAGGATTGAAGTAGGGAGTAATGTGATTGCATTTGCATTTTGAGGAGAGCACTCTGCCATGAAGCCAGCAGGGTTACAGTACACCTTCTTCTGAGATCCATACCATCTTGCAATGTACCTCTGTTTCAGGGGCTTCTTTACCTCTTTGGAATCATGCACAGACCCTTTAAAGAAGACAGTTCACCTAGTTTAAGGGTTCTGCCCACTCCTAGGATTAAAAGGAGTTTGACATAGGCACTGTTCATAAAGATATGTACAGGATTTAGGGAACCCAACAAAGGAATGGTGAAGCACTCTGGCACCAGCAAGAAACAAGGAGCCGCTGCCATTCCTGAGCCTGAACAGCCCAAAGGAACCTGGGAAAGGCTATAGTTGTGACTGTTAAGAGGGCTGCCAAAGGAACTGTGGCCTTGCGTAGAGAAATGCAGTTCCTGGTAGAGAAATATCTACCCCTGCTTTTCTCCTTCTCCATCTCTGATTTCTTGGTGATGCATCCCATTGGCCAAAGGCAGCTAAAAGCCCATGAAGTTATCCAGTGGAGTCATAGAGGACAGTTTCCTGGGCACAGAGCAGGACAGAGACAATGCAGTGATGGAGCAAACAGAATATTAGCATTTTATGAGTAATCTAGGGAACACCCTGCTGTCCACCCATGGACCCAGACTTTGTTCTACTATGACACAGATCATACTGCATTCTAACTGTGTATTTTTAGTGTATGTTTTGCTTATTACACTAGAAGCTCCTAAACAGCAGGGCCTTTGACTCATCCATCCTTGTGTCTGTGTGCCTTGCTTGTGCCTGGTGTCCAGTCCAGGCCTGTTGAATAGTGGGTGGGCAGGGGGCAGAGGGCAGCTTGACTCAGACCTCTCCCTTAGTGAGCGCCAGCCTCATGAGTGGCTTGATGCTGTCCCACAGGAGTGGACCAGGCCTGTGGGACTGGATTAGCTCCTGTGAGAATGGGTTGTTATCAGAGGCCTTGGCACCTCCCCTGCATCCCTCTCCCACACAGGCTCCTGCCTTGTGAGTCCACCCACCCCAAGGCCCTCACCCATGCTGAGCAGGTGCTGATATCATGCTCCTGAGTCTCCAGAACTGTGAGCTAAATACACCTCTGTATAAAGTACCCGGCCTTGGGTGCACTGTTACAGCAACACAAGATGGACTGAGGTGCTTGTGCTCTTTCCCTGAGTGCCTCCCACCAAGTTCTGGCTGTGAGAGTGACCTCAGGGTAGGGTGGGGGAGTGGACAGGCCACCTTAACCAAGCACCGGGACCCTTTCTCTTCCCTCTCCCTGCACCAGGGACAAAGAGATGGCCTGTCTCATGTGTGTGCCATTTTGCGTACACAGCATCAGTAGCTGTGGTCAAATTCCTAAGGCAGAACAGCTTCAACCCAGCTCCAACTCTGTGAACTGATCATTTAAGTGGAACAGGTCAACCAAGGAGACTCCTGGCTTCAGCTGCAGTTCTAATCAATTTCAGGAAACTCCCCTACCACATCACCCACCAGGAGTGACTAGAACTTAGTGAGAACTGCTTCTTAGAAATAGGCAGCAACATGGGGGGAAGGGAAAGCATAGAGGAGAAATAATGATAATAAAACCTATATATAAAATGGACTGTAGTATTAGCCCCCGAAGCCCATTGCTGTGGTTTAATAGTCCTCTCCAAAACTTAAGTTGAAATTTAGTTGCTTTTGTGATGGTGTTTAGAACTGGGGTCATGGGGCCAGCATTGTGGCATAAGGGGTAAAGCCGCTGCCTATGACATCTCATATGGTCACCATTTTGAGTCCCAGCTGCTCCTCTTCCAATCCAGATCCCAGCTAATGGCCTGGGGAAAACAGCAGAAGATGGCCCAAGTGTTTGGGCCCCTGTCACCCACATGGAAAACCCAGATGAAGATCCTGGCTTTGGCCTGGCCCAGCCCCAGACATTGTGGCTGTCTGGGGAGTGAACCAGCAGATGGAAGAACTCTCTCTGTCTCTCTCTCTGCTTTCTAACTCTGACTTTCAAATAAATAATTTTTTTTTTAAGAGAGAGAAAGAGAGAGGTGGGGCCATTAATTGATGATTAACTCAGGGACACCACTCCCATGGATGTATTAACGCCATTCTCAGGGCAGTGTATTAGTTATCACCAGAGTGGGTTTCTGCTAAGAGGATAAATTCAGTCCCTGTCATTCTCTTTCACTGTGTCTCACACCTGCTTCCTTGTTATGATGTAGAATGAAGGTCCTCGCCAGATTCTGGGACTTCTTTTAACTGTATACAGTGAGATGTGAGCGCCAAGAGATAAAGATGGAATTTATAATTAAAAGAGAGGCAAAACACAAAGGTTTGGAGAATATGCAGCCTCACCATAATAAAGCGTGAAGAAGTATGTTCGGAAGGAAAGTGTATGCTTAAGCAATTTGTGTGGCTAGAAGGGAGCCACGTGTTATTCATCAAGGCATTGCGACAAAGTCCCCAAAGGTATTAAGGGATATTAGAGGCTGCCCTCCCATCATCACAGGCCCAGAGCTTTAGAAGGGCAGAATGGTTTTAGGAGACAGGCCTGAGTGCCCTCCGTGGATCTCTCCTCCCTACAGTATGGCCCAAAGCCACACAACTGTGGCTCAGGTGGTCCCTGAGATGCAGCTCAGCTGGTTACTACAGACGTGCAAGCAGAAATCCTTCAGGTGGTATTAAACCTGCAGCGTAGCTGAATGCAAGAGCACTGGGGGCATGGCTACCTTTGCCCTAATATCAAAGGATGCCGTATCCAGGCTGAGCCACCACAGACAACCTCCACTAGATCCATGCACTGTGGAGCCATGGGGACAGGGCTGCCCTTAAGACCACAGAACTACCTGTATGGAGCACCAGCCCAGGGGAGCTGTTGTGTTGGTTGAGTTCAGCAAAGCTGTAGGGGCAGGGCTGCCCAAGGCTTTGGGGGCCCACCGTCCAGTGTGTCCAGGAGACAGTGCAGGAATGAAGGTTGTGGAGCTTTAAGGCTTATATTGTTTTCCTTATTGGGTTTTGGATTTACCAGGACCGGTTGCCCCTTTCATCCTGCCCTTTATTCACTTTTTGAATGAGAATGTACCACCATTGTATTTTGGAATTAGGTAACTTGTTTTGGTTTCACAGGCTCACAGCTGGAGGAAATTGTCTCAGGATGAATCACCCCTCCAGTCTCACCCACATCTAATTAACTTGAGACTCTGGACTTTTGGGTTCCTGCTAAAACAAATTAAGACATTTGGTGCTATGGGG